ACACACATTTTATATATATATATATATATATATATATATAAAAGAAAGAAAAGAGAAAAAAAAAAAAAAAAAAAAAAAAGGAATTCGTCACATTTTAATTTTTTCTTCCTTATTTCTTATTAATTAACTCTCTCAACTTATTTTCGTAATCTATTTCCACTCTCCCTATTTTTCACCCATTTTTTCTTCACCAAACCAACCCAATAGAGTTAGATTGGTTCGTCTTCTGTGACGCATACGGAAGCCCGTGGATTAAAAAATAAATAAAAAAAAAAAACTTGTAATTGAAGCGAAGTAAAGAAAAAGGAAGCTGAATTTGGAGAAGCAAGCATGCGGTGGTTTCTCAATACCTACGCTGAATTCGAAAACGACAACGACCGTAAGAATGGCCCAGATTGAGTACTTGCTCAGCTGCTCCTCCTTTATGTAAATGAACAAAATAATTAAAATATAAAATATTAATATTAATTAAAAATTACAATTATTTAAAATATACTCACTTTACTTTTGAGTAAAACTATCAATTTAACCCCACATGCTATCGTATTTTCTGGTTAGGTCAGACAGATTCAATTTAATTGTGAGTTTATAAATTTTTTTAGTCTAACTCAACCTCCCATGGATTGTTGAGTAAATAAGTTACTCAAGTCACATATAAATGGAATATATTAATTTTTATTTATAATATATAATATGTATGTAATAGAATAATTTTTTTAACTAATTAAAATCAGTCTAGTAGTGTGAAGAATTTAATAATAATATAAAAGAATTATTGTTTAAACTAATTATTTTTCAATTAATGATATTATCTTGATTATTTTTAAAATTTTAACTTCCCTTACTTCAAAGAAACTAAATCTAAAAAAATGGTTCTATAATAATAATTTTTTTTAAAAAAAAAGTCATTTAAAAAAACCTAGAAGTTAAAAGAAAATCTCATCACAAAAATAAACAAATAATAATAGCTCATCACGTTACATGTTAACATAAAATTCAATTATCATTTTCGTTATTCTTCTTCCTCCTTCAAAATGATGACATATTCTTTTTCATGGTATCACATTTTCTTAATTAAAATTGAAATTTTACTTCAATAATTCCTTAAGTCAAGTCTTTTACAATATGTTATCGTAACTGATAAAAAAAGGGCCATTTTAAATATATTTTTTCAAAAACCTTAAAAAATAAAATAAAATAAATTTTTCATAAGTTAAAATTAGTTTATCTATAAGTTAAAAGTAAAAATTTGAAGACACTTATTCCATTTTTCTTCTTTATTTCTTTCTCTTAAAAATGTTTAAAGTTAAATTTACCCAAAGAAACTTAAAATAAATTAGAAGTGTAGGTGTGATGGAAAAGTGCAATTGAGTTGATGAGTGTGTTTCTTTTCTTGTCTCTTAAAAATTGAACTTGGCTTCCCTGAATGTTGACCATAATGCCCTAATTTGCCCTTTTTGCATGAGTTAATTGGAATCTCAAAAGGACAGGATAGTTGGAGAAACATCACAATTCACAAAGCCTGCCCCGCCGCTAGCTATGTATATGGGGACACAAGTTATGGTATAGAAGTTAATGCAAATTAAACACATACATTGAGAAAGGGTAAGAGGCCCCACTTGAGTTTGCACTTTCAAAAGCTTCACTACTAACTCAACCATCAAGGCCACGATTCCCTTCATTAATTCTCCCTGTGTCCCCTCCCTGTAATGTAACCACTCCCTAACATCATTCTCATTATTCCTCTCACGCTTAAATATCATCACTATCCCTCACTCCTTGTACAACAACCCCCACACCCTCTACATAGCAGGGAATTTATAGTTCTACGTGCACATATTTATTATTTCACATAACTGGCATCGACATCGGGGACATTAAGTATTTCAGATGAGTAGCTAGACAACATCACATTAATTCTTCCGGTTTAATGGTTATGCACATTTACACTACCAATCAATTACAACTCATACGTAATATATGACTTTTAAGTCATTGTAAAAGTCATCAACAAATTCACTCAACGATAATTTGTGATTGAATGATTGTGTTTTATAGTCTATTTTCTCATTCTTTATACGATGATTGTGAAGACTACAAGAGTTTTTTTTTTTTTTTTCACTCTGTAAAGTAGATATGTGAGTGATATATGTTCAGTATATATCGGTGATTTTTTTTTTGTTAGCTATCGAAGACTTGATATATCCTTCTTAACCCTAGAATATTGGGACTGAGTATGAAAATATAGGTGGAGTTTAACTAGGCATGAAGGCCGGTTAAAAATCCGGAATTTAGATTATTATAACTGCGTTGAATTATACTGTGTGATCTTTATAACTGATATCACCTAATGAGATAAAGGCTTTATTGTTGTTGTGAGAAGTGAGTATATATATGTGCTATATATATGTTTGCCATTAAATTTTAGATAGAAATTAAAATTACGATAATTTTAGATTAGATATATAAACTTTTTTACAGGGGTGGACCTATATATATTATTATATATACTTTATCTTCTCTACCTTCTGTTTAATTAATGCTGATTTTCCTGATATGTATTTTTTTCTAGGATTCTCTCTATTTTATGCATACAGATAATGCAATATTAGAATAATGGATAGTGCAAGGTCTGATGGCCGACCTGATACGCCAATTTTACCTACTCCTGCTGACGTTAATAAGCATTAATATATATATGTATGCATTTTGACGATATAATTGTTAAACCATATAGAAGAATCAGAAGTTCTGAATACTCGTGGGGTAGATGTACAATTGGTTAATTATAGAGGCCAGAAGACAAATCAAAGATACCAATATCTAGGTGGAGAAGAAAAGTTGGTGGCAAGCAACACTAGAGATTTTCTGACCACGATCAATATCTACACTACATCCTACCTAACATAATATATACCGTGTTTCATAATTCTTATGCTTAATGACGACTAATGAATATCTTCAACTACCAAGTCTTCTGTTTAATTCATTCATCTCACACCCTAATTCCAATTTCTCTGAGAAAGGCTCTTCTTTGGTTAGCTAGCTTTTTTTTGATTCACATCAGTCTATTGTTATAGCTAATAATCCCACCGGCCAACTAAGCTTAGATATATACATGTTCTATATGTGCAGTAGTAGAGTTGGAATAGTATACACCCGATATTAGGTTTCAACTCTGTTATTATGACCGATAAAAAAAAAAAAAAAATCTACATGCCCTTCATCTCCTACAGGGATATAAAAAAAAATGTTTTCTGCAAAAATACATCCAAATCATTTATTTGATTGTGGGGATATATAACTAGACAAAGAAAGGTGGAGAAGCAAGGTTCTTGGCATATATATACATGAGAAACAAGAGAACGATACAAGGAGAAAAGTGAGAAGTGAAGAAATTAAGGAGAAAAAGATGAATAAGAATATTAAAGACACAAACATACCAGGAAGGAGTTGAGATTGAGATGAGGTGGAGATGGAAAGAAGTGGAAGGTGAGATATTGACGCGGCTCAATCAAAAGAACATGGCTGGTTTTCATGTTAACCATGTCTTCAAATTGAGGCGCGCCAATACCTTGGTTTTGTGCTTCATAAAACACTTCTCCATCACCACCTATGATGGATGGTTGATGACCCTTTTGGAGCTTCATTCTTTCTCCTCACTCCCCATGGACCAAGATGATGTTGATAATTGATTAAGGCGTTGTTGTTCAGTCTTTGCTAATGATGTTGGGAGAAAGGAATGAAGGAGTATGATATATATGTGATATTGAGTGATGAGGGTAGAATGAGTTTGGTGAAATTTGGTTGGCATGAAACGGTGCGTGTGGAGAAGAGAAGGGGAAAAACAAAAGAAATCATGAAAACCGAAGGGACTGGTTTGTGTACTGTTTGACTAACCATCTTCCAGGAAGCCACCAGCCACCACGTAGGGACTAGGGACCCGTATTTCTTTGCATTTAATTTTCATTTCAGTTCGCTCAATCTTTACAAATTTTACTTTTCTATTTTCCATACTACTCCTTTCTCTTTCATTTTCTTTCATCTTGTAATACTTTTTTTATATATATATTTTAATTCTTATTTTATAATCTTAATAAAATATTAAGTAATTTCTTTCCAATATATCCTTAATTAATAGTTTACTATGAAGTGACAATATATATATATATATATATATATATATATATATGAGAAATTTAATTATTTTGAAAGATAAGAAATGTACTAAAAATTGCATAATAACTTTTATAAATTTTAAAATATTAATTCTATTTCTTAATTAATTCATGCGTCAAAACCTTAAACATTAAGTAAAATAAGTCCATGGCGATAATTTATTAAATTTTCGGTTTACTTTTGCTATATTACCTATGTAATTTTTTTATATTTTAAATTTTAACTTTTTATATACAGTTAATATTTTTTTTACAGCCTAATGTAACGACTTATTGTTAGTGGATTTTTAAGTGATTATTATAAAATCAATAATTTTACCATACATGAAAATATATGATATTGTAAAGATAAATTAAATTCAATATAATATAAAACGATGTGAAAAAAAAAACTCTTAGACTACAATTTTAAATAAATTTTTATATATTAAATGCAAATCATTATCTTGAACAAGGATATTTTTAGAATTTTTTTTCGACTAAATGATCTGTAGAGATTTTATTTAATCTCTTATTTAATTTTTTTTTGTAATAAGTATTTATAAATTAAATATTAATATTTTTAAAATAAATTATCAATAAATAAATAAAGTAAATTACAATAATATAAATTATTTATTATAAGTCTAAAATATAATTTATATATTCAAAAATATTTATTTACATAAATTTTAAATATAATTTATATATTCAAACATAATATTTATTTTATGTATAATTTATTATAAAATTTTAATTATATATATAATAGAAATGCTTATGCATTATTACACAAATTAAAATAGTAGTTCTAATTAAATTCCTGATATTTTTAATTTAATTTTAGAAATAAAAGGTTAAATAATTCTTTATATTCCTTTAGTTTTATTGAGTTTTTAAAGAAATTTTTTATAATTTAAGAATTTTTATCAAGATCTTATATTTTTTTTAAAAAAGTACTAGTATATTCGAGACTTAATCGTGGCAATGTTTAAACTTTATTTAATAGCAGTTAGTCTTATGGAAAAATATTAACTCTAAGTTATATATTCAATTAATTAATTATAACATTACACTTTTTTTTTATATTTGAGAACATTATACTCTTAATTGATCATAATATGACCAATAAATTTACTCTTATATATAGTATAATGATATCAATTGAGATTTAAAATTTTTAATTTCAACAAACTTCTTTTAATAGTGATAACGGTTAAAAAAAATTCCATGATATTTTATAAGTAATGCATGTATTAAAAGAATCAAAATTTTATTATCATTTATATTTTAATTTTTATATTTTTCAGTGAAAATTCTTTACATTATTTTTTGTGTGAGGAGTTTGAAGTAATTGCAACCAGTCAACCAAGTTGATTGAACAGTGTCTTATAAATTTTTTTAAAAATAAATTTGAATTCTATGAATTAAAAAGGTTGCAATCTTTTTTTGTAATTTTTAAATAAACAATAAATCTCTGTAGATGTTCCACAACATTTACCTAAATGTCATTAGATTTTATAATTTTATTAATTAACAATAAATAATATATTATATTTTAGTAATATTTATTGCTTGATAAATTAATTCAATAATATTTAGTTTAAATAAAATGTAAAAAAAATAAAGATATTGAGTAATTTTTTTATAATTATGATATTAATAAGCAGGAA